GAGGTGATTAGTTTGGTGAGTTTACTCCCAGTTGTGAAGTCAGCTTAACCTCTTTCCTGAGTCAATTTAGGTGTACATGTTCATTTTCACTTTTTTATTCATCCATTCATTTATTGACCAAATATTGACACATACAATATGGGCCAAGCAGTGAAATTCTATGGAGAATACAGCAGTGAAGAAAACTTATCAGATCGCTGCCTTTGGGAATATTATATTCAAACAATTGAGGATGATAGAGAGAGAAGATAAATGAGTATTATACTATTTGTAAATGATATGGAAAAAATTTTTTAAAAAGAGGGAACTAGGGCCCTGGCCAGCATGGCTCAGTGTTCAGAGCATTGATGTGTGAACCAGTGTCATGGGTTGAGTTCCTGCTCAAGGGCAAGTATGTGGGTTGCATGTCCAAACCCCACCCCCAGTTGGCGTGCATGGGAAGCAACCAACCCATGTGTCTCTGTCACATTAATGTTTCTGTTTTTCTCTTTATTTCTCTGTCTCTCTTTCTCTCTACTCCTTCTTTCTTCCTTTCCACTCTCTCTAAAAATAGGAAAAGTATATTCTCACTCCTCGGGTGAGGATTTTTAAAAAATTGTCTAGAGAGGGAGGTGATGAAGGTGGAGGAGGTTACAATGTTAAGTATGATGATTAGGAAGATTTTATAGAGGTGACAAAGGTGACAGAGGTAAGTTTTGTGTATTTCTTTTTGAACAAAGGTGACAGAGGTAAGTTTTGTGTATTTCTTCCATTGTAACTTTATCCTATATAATAAAAATCTAATATGCTAAGTGTCTAGTTGTCCAACCAATGAAAGTATAATATGCCAATGATAAGGCTGCTCAACTGCTCACTATGACATGTACTGACCACCAGGGGGCAGGCAATCGACTGATCAACCAGTTGCTATGATGTGCACTGACCACCAGGGGCAGATGCTCTGACCTGTAGGTTAGCTTTTTGCTGAGGTCCTGCTGATCAGGACTGAGCGAGATGGGCCAGACACACCCTGGAGCCCAGCTAGCCAACCTCCCACGTTTCTCCCCGGCCCCGATCTTGCACTGGTGGGGTCCCTCAGCTTAGTTTGCACCCTCTTGCAATCTGGAACCCCTTGGGGGATGTCAGAGAGCCAGTTTCGGCCTGACCCCACAGGCCAGGCCGAGGGACCCCACTGGTGTATGATTTCATGCACCGGGCCTCAAGTGTATTTATGATATTGATGATACCTTGGTTGATGTTAGACTTCCTTTTATACTAAAAAGTCCTAATTGTTTACATCTGCCCTTACAGTACTTTTTCCCCCCTGACTCTGTTGCCTTCTGTCATTCTTATATGCCTTTCCCTGTATTTACAGCCTTTTCATTTTATATCATTTTGTGATGTACTAGTATATTGATGAAAAAAACAAAAAAACCACCCTCTATGGTTTTCTATAAGGAAAAAAGCAGATTAAAAGACTCAAAACCTACTTTTAGTTTGTTTTTCTTTTGAGATGGTAGGAAAGATTAAGGTTTTCAGTCTACCCTACTTATTTCCAAGTTGGAAGTTGTGCTGAAACATCTGGAACTATCACAAGAATATATCCTAAAAAAATTGCAATTTGAACTATTCAAAGTAAAATCACTATTAACATAGGCAAATTGAAATTAGCCAAAACCGGTTTGGCTCAGTGGATAGAGCCTGTGGACTGAAAGGTCCTGAGGACTGAAAGGTCCCGGGTTCGATTCCGGTCAAGGGCATGTACCTTGGTTGCAGGCACATCCCCAGTAGGTGGTGTGCAAGAGGCAGCTGATCGATGATTCTCTCTCATCGATGTTTCTAACTCTCTGTCCTTCTCTCTTCTTCTCTGTAAGAAATCAATAAAGTATATTTAAAAAAATGAAATTAGAATGAGCTGACTGCTAATTTGATTGGTTATACCCTCAGTTTGCTCATATGGCTAATGCTAATTTAAACTAGATAAAGTATTTGTATATGACGGCCTCTATGATCAAAATGTTCTTCAGTGTCTTAGAAAATGTGAAACAAGAATGTCATTGTTTATGTAGCATAGTTATCTGTCATTGTCTAGTCATTTGTAATCATGGATTTATGAACTGAATTTAAAATTTTGTGTATGCAAAATGACAAAAATGAGAGGTTATTTATTATAGATAAGTAAAAGTTACTAATGGATGCAGATTGTCTTGAATTCTGTTATTTTGACAAATAGATTTTCATGGTGATATTTTTAGAATGAGGTTTTAGTGTACTAATGTCAAAATCATATTTTCTACTTTCAGTTCAGTGTCAAATATTAAACATATGTGGCTGTCATCCATTATGAGATACAGTTTTGCAGTATTTGAGGCTATATTACTAAAAAATGATAATACCTCAAAAAATGATAAAAATATATAACGTGTATTTTTAACATATTTAAGTTAAGGAAGTAGAAATTGTTGTGGGACCTTAAGTAAACAAAAACTCCCTTTCTCTGAACTTATATAATTATGTATACAGTATTTAGTTCTAATCCTGGTTTCCATCATTAAAGGCTGGTTAAATGATTATATTTGCAAATGTGCCCAGGTATTTGTGTCTGAAGTGAGTTATTGTGCCCACACTTTAACAATCTGTAGGCCAGAGTTTATTGAACTCGAGAAAATTATATTTCTGCCAGTTAAAAATATAAATTTAAAAATGACAGAAGTCTAATTTAGTGTCACCACTTGTTTGTACCACTACTGTGTGAGAAAAATGTGGGAGCTCTAAAAGACTTAGGAGAGCAAGTCTACTCTTTACTTTGTCCCCCTAACTTTTTAAAGTAAAAATAGAACAGTATGATGAAACAATGAAATGAATTCCCATGTATCTATCTTCTTTAATAGTTAACAACTCATGTTTAATTTTGTTTCAGCTCTACCCCTTATGATCTCATCTATCCCATTATTACTCCCCTCACTTCTTACCTCTGGAAAGAGACACAACAGCTGAGTTAGGCTCAGCACTAAGATGCCACTCATGCTCCCCTTTGCCATGTTTTGTGGATAGAGGGATGGATGAAAAAAAAATTTTTTTAAGGATACAGGTTAGTTTTCAGACAAATATTTAAAAATTTGAATTGTGAACTTTAATATTCCTAGTCTCAAATTTTGAGTTGGAATTAAGTAGAGTCTTCTAAATTAAACAGAGATTCCACAAAGGCAATTTGCTATGTGCATTCTGAGAAAGTAACATTTACCTCTGTACTAATATGGTTTATTTCTTTTATGTTTTTTTTTTAATTTTTTAAATACATTTTTATTTTTAAATTTATTTTATTGATTTTTTAAAATATATTTTATTGATTTTTTCACAGAGGAAGGGAGAGAGATAGAGAGCTAGAAACATCGATGAGAGAGAAACATCGATCAGCTGCCTCCTGCACACCCCCTACCGGGGATGTGCCTGCAACCAACGTACATGCCCCTGACCGGAATCGAACCTGGGACCTTTCAGTCCGCAGACCGACGCTCTACCACTGAGCCAAACCGGTTTCGGCTCTTTTATGTTTTCTAAAGATTTTTTTATGTATTTGCTTTCCAAAAAAAAACAAGAAATATATATCTTTGAGGTTATTGACATTTATAATGAGATATAATACAATGAAATTGTCCTTTAAATTCATACAAAACACTTGATGCCATTTTCAGTATCCTTAGTTATACATTAAAAAAAAATCAATTGATCTAATACCTTTTTTTTAGTTTTTAAATATATAAAAATGAGTTGTAATACTTAAAAAGTGAAAATAGGTTTTAAGAAGTTTTAAAATATATTTTGAATTGATATTACTCTTCTAATCAGTTGTTTATATTATATAAAGTTTAATACTAAAACACACACACAAACCTCTTCCTTTGTACATTCAATATCCTTTTGACTATAGCTAAACAAATTATATAAGTAATTTGAAAAGTATTTGGGCAAATATTCTTTCAGCAGAAAGGAGAAATTATGTTATATTTATGGCTCCCATAATAATTTCTCTTTATTATTAGTAAGATGGGACTACTAAAACAGAATTCTAATCTTTAAGTCATTTGTTACCGACCCTGATTTTGTGAATTATCAAAGAACCTACAATTCTTGATAAAATTTTATGAAATTAAAAATAAAACAATTCAGTTCCTATTCAGCATTTATTGAGGAAATTTGATTTTTGGAATTTGAAATTGGGTATTTGGAAGTGAATCAAATCCAAGAAAGTTGGAATGTGCACAATAAAAGAATTACATGGTTGAATGTTATTTTCAGTATGCCACACTATATAATTGTTGCAGCTTCCTAACAAACACCAGAAGGTTCTTTCTCTCAACACTTCCACTATGGATTCCATCTCCATTAAAAAGTCTTATTCCTGATTTTTCCCCATTGCCTTTAATTAATAGTGCCTGACTGGAGGCTAGATATTAATGTAGCCAGTTTAGAACTTTCAGAGCAGTGTCTTCCAGCATTATTTACTACACTTGACTAGTAATTGATCAACTATTAAACAACTGCTTTAAAAGTTAACAGATTTGCCTAACACACCTCTGTGAATGGTATATTTAGAATCTGACTTTATTAACTTTTTTTTTAAACATTTTTATATATATATATATATTTTTTTTTTTTTAATTGATTTTGTACAGAGAGGAAGGGAGAGAGATAGAGAGTTAGAAACATCGATGAGAGAGAGTCATCGATCAGCTGCCTCTTGCACACCCCCTACTGGGGATATGCCCGCAACCAAGGTATACATGTCCTTGACCGGAATCGAACCTGGGACCCTTCAGTCCCCAAGCCGACGCTCTATCCATTGAGCCAAACTGGTCCCGACTATTAACTTTTTTTTGACTACTATGTGTGTGTGTGTAGTGTGTGTTTTAGTGTTTTGTTCTTGTTTAGGGGGGAAATCAGTTTCATTGCTTTAAAAAATATTTTCATGTATTAGATCTCGTACCTTTAGACTTAAGTTAAATTTTCCTTAATCCTAGATGAGAATTGGAAAGTAATCAAATTATTTCATTGTCAAATTGAGTCTTCAAGTTACTGCTTACTTGGTTTTCCATCATAAATGGTACGTATATCATTAAATCTTTTAAGACATTTTCTGAATTGTTGTATGCCTTCTTAAGAAATAAGGATGATTCAAAATATAAATATTGAATATAAAAATCTCATATTTGTCCCCCCCCCCACTTGTAAAATGAATCATGTTTCTTTCTGCGATTTTCTTTCAATTATTCTCTAACACATTTTTGTCTCTGTCATCCTTCCTGTCTTTCTTTCCATTTGCTCTGGTTTGTTCTGCTTATAATTGCTGGGCATAGGCTGTTTGAGTTTTAAACCTTTTCAGCCAACCCATTCTCTTCCTGCCTCAGTCTGTCTTTGGTTAGATGGTTCCTTTGCACCTCTCAGCCTGCTCCTTTATTATTGGATTTTTTGCCTTTTTCAGACAGTTATTCTTCATTCTTCTGTTTGTTGATGTTTTGTATTTTTAAATAAATAGGTAATTTCTTTTACTGTTTCTCATAGTGTACAATGAGAAGAAAAAAGAAAACAACCATTGAAGGACAGATATATGTGACTCTTAAAACAGAAAGAGGTAGTGTTGTTACAGATTATTTTAGAAAGTACAACCAGCTAAGAGTAGTTAGATAGAAGGGCTAACTGTTGCCATGAATAAAAAGAAATAATCTTGCCTGACATCTACAAAATCTTATTTTTAATTTTCTAAAGCTGCAGGCAGTATTAGTAAAATGCGTATAGAGAATTAGTGTATCAAAACATCCTTGGAAAGTATGGATAAATTTTCATAGATAAAGTGGTTATTGAGGAGCATTTGAAATCTTGCTCCCTGATATATGTCCTCAGTTTGGCCCAGATAAATTCATAAAAGTAAAAATAAAAAAAGACAATGGTTATTGTAAAATCACATATTTTTGTTTATCTGCATGACCTTTGGTATTTTATGATAGACCAATTTCATCATTTTTGTCTTCAAATACTTTATGAGAAAGACTTAACCATACATAAGGAAATAAAAGTCAATATAATTTCTTCTTTTAAGGAATGTACAAGTTCTCTGGTATCCTCTGCCCACTTTTAAAGTTATTTTACACAATTGGTTTATCAGTATTTTATTGATAGCCTCTACTGTCTTTCTCTTTTTTCTTATTTATGTTCAGTGCTATTTAGTTGTAGTGAATTTTTGTGAATAACTTGTTGAGTGTTAATTTTTGAAGTTATGGATAATATGCATATGATAGGAAAGAATATATTTTAGAATTAATATAAATGATGAAATAAGTAATCTTTTTATAATACAATGAAATTTAGAATTTCAGATTTTTAAGGATGTGTGTGTGTGTGTGTGTGTGTGTGTGTGTGTGTGTGTTGGGAAAGGTGCTTTTTAGTTCTGCAAAATTCATGACTCCTAGATTCCTAGGTTAAATTTATTTTTAATTTATTTTTCTATTTTTGGAATTTATGTAAGTTTACAAAGTTGAAGTTACTAACTGCTCCCCCCCCAAAAAAAAACAAAAAAAACCCACACAAAACAAAACAAAAAACAAGAACAACAACATTCTGAGTTCATTTATATCCATTATAACATTTTATAGGTCAATATGGAAATAAAAACTTGGGAATAGTAGGTGGTATAATTGAAATATAGAGCATAATCTGTTCTTTGTTTGTTTTACCAAATTAAGGATTCTGAGGATACATTTTGAATATTTGTGTATGTTTAGCATTTTGTCCCTTTGTTAGAAATCTCTCAGTGTGACTTGTTTTTAATAGGATGTGTCTCCAATCACTCTTGAAAAGTATTAAGCCCTTTAAACACACTGGTCAGACCCATAGAAGGAAGCCTACAGGTTTATTAGCACTCCTTAGCCTGAAAGCACAGCATACCCTTCCAGGTTGCACAGCAACAGACTCCTAGCAACCATAATAGATTGAATTTCTAAGAGTGACCAGGGCGGATGTAATAATAAAGCAAGAGGTACAAACAGTTGTCATGGTTTTCTTTTCACAGCAAGTTAGTTTGAATTGGGGAAGCTTAGCATTTCAAAAATGGGGAAACTTTTTATAAAACCAGTACTGTTTGTGCACCAGACTTCTGGTATTAAAATAACAAAAAAATTCCAAAATTTAAAAATATACTGGTTAAAACAATAGTATACTTTAAAATAAAACAAATTAAAAAAGTAAAATCTTATATAAAGAAGTTTTCAGGGAATTTTAGAAAAAAACATAAACTTAAAATTGAACTTAGCAAAATAATCATAATGAATGTGCTTTTGAAAAATAAAAATTGTAATAGTGTACTTTCTTATGGGGATCCTTCATTTATTTTAATATTGCAGCAACTCTTGTTTTATGTACATCATTTAAGTGGATGTATATATAAAACTAATACTTATAATAAACTTTTAAAATTTATCTTAGAAAATGTTACATGAACTATATATATGTATATAAGCAATGTTTTTTTGAAATTATGAACAAATAACTAATTTAGCATATAAGTAATTGAAAAAGAAAGAGTAAAGTAGTAAAATGTACAGTCTTTCACAGTGACAGTAAAAGTGTCAGTGATATTTCTAAAAGTGTAATATTGTTCTAGAACTTTGCCAACATTTCTATTGCATACTTTTTAGTATGTGTTTGCCACATAGCCATGAAAAGGAGATTAATTCAGATACATTCACAACCTGAACCAATAGGCCTCCATCAAAAGAAACAGATCTCATATAGCTGCTGGAGTAGGGAGTGGAACTACACAGGCTTTGACAGCAAAAAGCTGTAAATATACACACATGCTAATACCCTTGATTTGTTCATCTTTTGTGCAGCATTTGGAAAAGATTGTTAAAGTAGCGGTTACAGTGAAGAGTGGCAATTACAGTAAAGAGCAGAAATTAGGTATTTGTGACCTATTATATTTTATTAAAAGACTTCCTTATTAAAATGACACTGCTTAGTCTGATTACTTGACAGCTGCCCTAAACAGATTAGAAAATACACAGCTTTAGTTAAAGGTAAAACCAACCTCTTTAAGCAAGTGCATGGCGTGAAACAAGTAAATGGTGTACTGTAAACTTTTCTTAAACAATAAATTTGCTTTAGATAGGGATGCTTATTAGTGATTAAGAGGCATTCTCTTTTGCATTTCTATAACAGTTACCTACTGTTGCATTTTACCATTGGGATATGTTAATACACCACCTAATACTATGCTAGCTTCCTATTAGAGGGTCTTATAAGGAGGTGTCAAAGACCCAGGGATCTCCAGGGCACCCCAGAGAAGCTTTCTCTGGCTCTCTGAGAAGTCCTTGTCCTAATGCACTGTAAATATTTTTATAAGGCAACACTAAAACTTTGGGAAGTTTTAGCACTAGATTATAGATTTTTGAAATATTTGCAGTTTTTCTTTAATACAGTGAGGAGCCACAGCAAGTTAAATACTTAAATTTAGGTATCAGTTGCACCACATTGAATTATCTGTCTTTCTAGAGATAAATTTATTATGTGGCTTTTGTTATGAACCTTTAATGATAATTTCTGAAGTTTTACTGTTGCTTACTCAGTGCCATATATATTTTACATAGTGACTGTAGAGCACTTTATAGAACAGTCTTGCCTATCAGTTATTCTGAATTGTAGTTTAGCAGTTAAGTAGCCTGACCTGCTACACAGTGTAAAATTTCATGACCTTGTCCCTGTCTCCTATGTCATGAGGCATGGATATGCACTGTAGTCCAGACTATGAAATCACAGTTCAGGCTTGAAGACACACACACAGGTTCAGTATGAAACAGATTTGTGGGGAAATTACTTCGCTCAACTAATCTTGAATATAGATTTTTTTTTTCAGGATTGTTACAATATTAATAAAAGTCTGTCATATACTTGGGTGGTACTGTGAAATTTCCACAAAGGCCCAATCTGTGCTATGTAAACCACTTATGCTAATTCCATGTAGGGAAATATCCATGATTACTTAGGTCTTCAGCTTAAAAAATAATATCTGATAGCATGAGTTCTGTCAGCTTGCAAAATGGTTAGGAGGTGTGAGTCCTAGTCTTTTGAATAAAATCTGAGTTAAAATTCTGGCTTTGTCATTTGATAGCTAAACTAATTCCATACTACTTTGAGCTCAGGTGTTGTATGTAACTATGGGGATATTACCTATTTAGTTCAGTTATAAAATGAAAAAGTGAAAGGTAAAATTTAGATAGATAGATAGATAGATAGATAGATAGATAGATAGAATGGCACTCTAGAGTTAGTACTCAAACTAGTAATGTATATTGTCATTATCATCTTTCTAGTTTACTCCTTGTGATAGGATGTAAGGAGGGTTTCACAGGACAGGATGGCAGCTAAAATGGTAACATGGAATTTACTTAGAAACAATATTATTTTCAAAGAGGGATATTAAGGACTACATATTTTGTTAAGTCATTTTCAGTATTGGTCAGTGTAGGAATTCTTCTGAGTAAACGTTTATCAATAACCCCTCTTCACAGGTGCAAGTCTTGGAGCAGGATTTTTTTTTTTTTTTTAAAGATTGCAAAAGCAATAATAAATAGGAAAAAAAACACTAAATAGATTAAATACTTGTTACTCTGAACAAATGGTAGAATTTAAAGAAAAGGACCAATTTATTTATTTTAGTAAATATGTACAGTGAGCCTTGTATTATTTAAACATTGATTCTCTTTCCACATTTTGCTTCCATGGAAAATCTAGCAATGGAATTGAGTAAACTGCCTTCTGTTAGCACTTTACATGGTTGACATAAAATAACTGAAAATAGCAGTAGCTTCTGCTGAGAAGTAATGTCAACAGTGGAGTCGCATGGAAATCTGATTACCTTTGGTACTTTTTGCCTTATCCCTAAACAATGTTCAACATACTTTCCATTGATTTACAAAATATAGTTTAAATTTTAATATATTCTCTTGTTCCTAAAGGGACCATAAAGGCATTTAATTTAATAAAAAATATTATTTGCAAAAGAAGAGAAGTGATTTGAAATAACGGTTTGAAGTAGCTACTGGGATTAAA